CTGTGAATGGATTTAATATTTGTGAGAAACGTGTAAATTAATTCCCTACTTCTTGGGAACGCTGATTAGCTTGTCAAGAGGGCATCAGAGGTTGCTGCCATGGCGACAACACTGCAGCGCCCCATGAGCTTAATATCGTGACCGTTAATAGAATGAACAGTGGGATGAGATGGTAATATGAGTTGTACTGGAGTTATTAAGGAAATGAGAGAAGGACTAAATGCATTGCACTGCACAGTTCTGATGCTTTAAACTGAACTTACAGTGTCACCACTGCCATCTACAGGCCAAGACGAGACACAACACCTGCAACGATAGTAAAACACTGTTGCCAACTGTTTTTGAGTGTGACCCCTTAAAAAGAAGTAATGCCTCCTAGAATCCCCCAGTAGGGTCCATGTCTACAAGATGTGAGACCTTTTTTTCTTCCTTCTTTCATTTCATGAATAATTTTTGGAGATGTAAGGAAGTAAATCTACTATGTTTTCACAAGATCAAACAAAAGACAATGGTACATAATATTGTGCAGCGGACTTTCTGTTTTTCTTATTTTCTAGTAATCATTTCTCAACCCGCTGAGAACCACTGCTGTATACTGTCTGACTTTATATTATAGGTGTTTTATTCAGAGACAAAGTACATTACTAAAGTACTGTGCTTAAGTATAATTTTGAAGTACTTCTACTCAAGTACAGTTCAGATGGAAATATTGTACTTTTTACTCCACTACATTCATTTGACATCCCTAGTTGCTGATTACCTTGCAGATCCAGATTTTAGATAAAATACGATTAACAAATAAAATACTGCTCATTTTAATAGATTAAACTACGCAGTAACATATAAATTATTTAAAATTTGCCTCATCTCGACCAGCATCAACATGCTTACATCAATACTGTAATATATACAATAGTATAATACTCAGAAATGTGTTCCGCATGACAGCTGATACTGATAATTATATTATAACTATATTTTGCTGCTAAAACTAGTAGTATTACATTGGGATATCACTACTTTTACTTACATAAAGGATTTTTTTCCATCACTGTTTTTACTTCACTTCTACCCTTTCTCTTATTCCCTCATCTAGTTTGGATAATGCGTTTAATGCAGATAATAAATTCATGTCTTTGTGAGGTAATTACATGCAGCCAGAAAAACATAAATAATTTATTCCAAATAAATCCCAGTGCATTCCTTTATAAAAGCAATACAACGCCACAACACAACATGATCAAGGGGGGGAAAGCACAGCTATCTGTAGTAAAAAAGCTCCCATTAGCCACCACAAGAAATATTATTATGTATTAAATAGATATTCTCAATATTTGCATCCCTTAATCAGATTTATACTGTACAGCTTTTATATTTAAAGAGGTTTGTACATTGACTCCTCGAGTGTCAAGCAGGTACCTCGCTCTTCAAATTGGGTGTGAATGATGCCATGCATAAGCATGAATGATAGCCAAGCGTGATTCTGGTTCAGCGTGGACAGAGCAGATCTTTACAGGGTATCAGTCTGTTAGGAGCTCTTGCAGCAGGTCCTGCCCCCCTCCTGAGCCTCACTGGTGGGTCCGATGGGGCTGGACAGAGTCACAGCGCTGATGGAGCCACGGGTCACCTCTCTGCTGGCCACCTTCTTATGGATGGCTGGAGATAATAATGAATACACGTCAGTAGGTAATTCAAAGAACCCAGATTAACTGAGGGTGTTTGGAAACACTGACTGAACTACCTGTGAGGATTTCATTGAAAGCAGCTTCTACATTGGTGGAGTCCAACGCTGATGTCTCCATATACATAAGACCTCTCTTCTCTGGGTTGGTCCGAGGGGTGAGAGCAAGGAAGGCAAAGATCACAATTTAAGGAGCAAAATGTCTGGTACTGAGTATTAGATACACTTTTCATGATCACATGAGACCCAGTTATATAAAGTAGGAAATCATGACTTGACAACATTCAAAAACAAAGACAACAAAAACTTAACCAACCTGCAAAGTCCTTGGCCTCCTCTGTGGGCACGGTCCTGAGGGTCTCCAGGTCTCTCTTGTTTCCCACCAGCATGACCACGATGTGAGGGTCTGCATGGTCATACAGCTCCTTCAACCATCTCTCTGCGCTCTCATAGGTCAGGTGCTTGCTAATGTCGTAGACCAACAGTGCTCCAACTGCTCCCCTGTAATACCTGTAAGCCCACACAGACATGACTTGGATCTTCAATTCAGGAACAGGAAGCTGTTGTTGTAAAATGTGTGATGTGTGTGACGGACAACGCTGATGTGAGATTTCTTTTGTGTATATGTGTGTGTGTGTGTGTGTGTGTTTGTATGTGTGTGTATATGTGTGTGTGTGTGTGTGTGTGTGTACTCACGCTGAGGTGATGGCCCTGTAGCGCTCCAGCCCAGCTGTGTCCCAGATTTGGGCTTTGACGGTGAAGTTATCCAGCTGAACGGTCCGGGTGCTGAATTCGACGCCGATGGTGGTGCGACTGTCGTGAGTGAACTCATTCTTGGTGAAGCGAGACAGAAGGTTGCTCTTGCCTACGCCAGACTCCCCTATCAAAACGACTAAACAAGCACAGATGGGAGTAGTCAAAATCTATTCATTACAAATACCATGATACAACTTTAGCTTTTTACTGTTTTATGAACCTTAAAGTCAAATCTAAAACAGCTAATTTGTCAAAACTAAAACTTTCTGTAATGAATCAGATATCCTTTATCTCCTCTGACACGTGTAGACTTTCTGTCACCCTCACGAGACGCCAGACACCGTGACATCACACAAAAGTAGCAGATCTAACCTGTGGCTGACTTTACTTTGGCATGAATGGAATGTAAAGACACGATGGAAAAGACACACCAATCAGTTAAAAGTCTCTTTGCAAAGCAGGAAATGTAACATGACGTTTCTTCAACAGGCCAAAGGTCAAATGGTTTATAGCCAAATAGACAGAAACCGATCACTTCCTGCTTTCCTTCTCTCTCCTCTTCAGAAATGGGAGCAGGCAGTTACAACCAGTTGCACCTGACAGCTTGAACATGTATAGAAGTCTCTCTTCTTACACAATCACAGCTTGAGTAAACACGACTCACCTTTGAAGACGAAATTATACGACTCGTCAGACCCCATGCTGCATTCAGTGGCGAAGGGTTGCTCTGTCACTTGGCAAATATCCTGGAGCCACTTTCAATATTAGTTAAAAAAACAGGCAGATAGAAAAACAAATACAGCCTTCACTCCCCTTTCCCTCCTTGCAGTGTGGAGAGTGAGAGAGTTCAGGTGAAAATGGAGGAGAAAAAGAGAACAGGCTCAGCTGCACCCACCCGCTTCCTTCTTCATCTGTGGATAGGGGTAATTCCTGATTGAGGACAAGCTGACAGGCAGGCAGGGAGGGCAGGAGTCTTGTGGCCTGCCGATCCCTCATCAGCTGACACCAGAGGGGCGGCTGGAGAGCAGGTGTAACAGGTAGAACCACTTGCAGGTATTCATCCTGAACAGACTCCACCCTCTGCTACGCTCTCCTTTTACTCTGTGACGTGGTTCATTTGCATGACATTACAGCTCACCTAACAGGTGGATCTGTGTACCAGAGCCTGACGCCATTTTGACACTTGTCTGATGCCTACAGGGATGTGGGTAGGAACTGTGATTTGGACTGTTGGACTACTATTCATGTTTTATTTTAATTGTGCATGTAATCATTTTAACCCTTAGTGGAAGACAGCCTATAAAATATATTTATGGATATAATACAGTTGCAACCAGCAAATCCAGAGTTTAAGGTTAACATGGTAATATTGAAGGTTGTCATTATGTTGACAATTTTATATAAAATTGGATAATGCTTTGTTTTACAGGACATCATTACCAAATAATGTTCTAGAAAACGTTTGCTGAAAAGAAGCAATGTGATATGAACTACTGTTAGAGACAATATTCACAGTCAGTTGTTTGAGTTTAGTTGGTTGATTTCCAGAGGAATTCCCTTAAAGGATCAGTGACTAATATTTAGTGACATCTAGCGTTGAACAGGGAAAGATCTAGAGAAATATTCATGGGGTGGCCAAAGGGGGGAATGGAGACTTAAAGGGATAGCAGAAATATATGCTGATTTAATCACAATCAATCAAATATACTTTAATTTACTTGGAAAAGCCCCCAAATGAAGATATTTGAACTCAGAAACATTACATTATTGTGGCACAGTAGAAAAGCTTTGAAGAGAAATGTAGCAATAAATTGTTTTATTTCCAAATCTTCAGACTGTTTTCCACATACGTGTCTTTTTCCATTGAACCCTGTCACTTTGTCTAAAATGTGCCCATAAAAGATAACTAAATTATATGTGTTAATTATGTGTGTTGACATGTTGTTTTTAAATGTGTGTGTTAAATCTGACAGCATTTGACACCAAATTGGGGTGGCCAGGCAGTGAAGTTGCAGACTGTGTATGGTTTGTCCGTTCTGAGCTACTGTAGAAACATGGCAGTTCAACATGGCAGACTCCATGGAAGGCGACCTGCAGCATCTGTAGATTTAAAAGGCTCATTCTCAGGTAACAAAAACACAACCATTTCTATATTCAGGTGATTATACACTAACGAAAACATAACTATGAATATTCAATTTCAGCCAATAGATCGTCCTCCTTTAAAGGCAGTGGTTGATTTAAACAAATCCATAATAATACTATAAATACTAATATTTGTTGAATTTTACGCTTCACTGTAGACACATTTTACATTTGCAAAAATCACAAACAATTATTGTTAATTATTATTAACAATTTACAATCTTTCCCAAAACTTTAAGTGTTACCTATAATAACCCCATAATAGGCAACATTTTCATATTAAACAACAAACAGAAGCAGAGCATATATTTAATCACTTTATATAAACTTCAAGGCCAGAAAACAGAATTGTATGGAAAGCAACAGCTGTGATCTTGTACCATCCCGAGGCTATAATCAACTGACACAGGGCATAGTGTGTTTTTGACCATGTTTTATTTTTTTAGTACAGTACTGTTAAAAGTTAGTTTCAACATGTTCAATTGGGAGATGGATTTATTTATTTTTTTCAGCTGAGGTCAACAGACAAAGCAGCTATAGAAGCAGTTGCCAAGGTTACCACAACTACAATGCTGAGATTCTCAAAAGGAAAAAATTTAATAAAATAAGACAATCTAGAACTTGATTTTAGAAACGTATGGTGCCACCATACCACAGTTGTTTGTAAAGCCTTTCCATTTTTTATTTATTTATTTTTAACTCACTTGATTTCCACATTTATTTTATGCGAGACAAATCATAATTATCTCTAGGTACTAACTGCACCTCAAAAAAAAAGAAAAAAAGAAAAATAGAATAAAAAGAAGAATCAGATTAAAATGAAAGGAAAGCTTGTTTGTTTCATTCATATTCATTTGAACAGCGTCCCCTGCTTCGGAGCTGCTACAATGTGATATTTGATTATGGTAACAGTTCTGGATGATGCTGTGTGGAATTTACTGGGGATTTTCTAATTAACCGGCCGAGTGCGGGGGGAGGGGGGGTGTAATTTGCCGACAATGCTCTTCTAGGGCAGGGAAGGACCGAAGGCACAGCAGTGGTGCCTCAGAAGGAAAAGACACTGAGCACCCGTGAGTGGGCACTTTTATCTGGAATGACAAATTACAAGTTTAGGGAAGTGTGGAGGGCGTCATTTTCTTAAGCGCTTGCAATAAATAGTGAAAGTTGTTGGGAAAAAAATGCTATTTATGTAGAATGTAGAGAATGGGGGAAGGAGAGAGGAATGAGGCTGAATGTCTGAATGGACAAGATACTGTATCTTCCTGTTGTGGCTTCAGGACTGCTGTCTGTTTACAAGAAATATTTCATGTATTGATTTGCCAGTTAAATGCTAACAAACTTCCTCACACAGGCCATGTATGAAACAGAGCCAACAGCCAATCACATCACATGGATTTAATCTGTATTATGTAAATGTTTGTCTGCAACACTCGACTCCAGTATTGTGTGAAGAGAACAATGAATGTAGAAATGGTTGGGAATCCCTTTTCAGGAGAGGTTTTCGCTCCTTTTCTCTGCACCAGAACACCCCCTCAAGATGAGAGTGGTTCAGTCCGGCTCTACAGCAGCACTCTGAGACAGAGATCTGGTTGGATGACGCCAAAAAGAGAAAATATGGGGGCTAGGGAATGATCTGAGAACAGATGTAGAATGAGGGTCTTACAGATCCTGCCCAAGTTTCTTCTGTAAAGTTTGGGACAATACACTTAAATTTCTCTTGGTTCTCTGTAGATGCTGGGTGTGTTTATGAGTCAGGTATGTATGTATGCACGTGTCTGTGTGTCAGTATGTACTGTATGTCTTTACGAGGGCTGTGAGCCCAGCAGTCTCTCGATAGCGGCGTTGATGTCTCCTCCAGTAGCGATGAGGGCCTGCAGGTTGGCCTCGCGGTTGATGAAACCCATGGCGCTCAGCTGGTCCAGCTGGGACTGGAACCGCACCTCTGGGGTCTGGGTCTACAGGGGGGAAATTAGTTTTAAAGATCTTTTTTCTTTTTTTTTTTTTTAAATCATTCAGGTGTGGGGAATGTAATCAGTGCATGCGTATACGTGTGTACCGTTGCACTTCCTCCTCCACCTCCTCCTCCAGCAAACATCTGGAGCATCTGTTGCATCAGCTGCTGCTGGGCAGTGTTCGTTCCTGCACTGCTGGGTGAGGAGGCCGGGTTCTCTGTGGGCATGCCCCCTCCTGTGGGTATGCCAGGAACTACACCTGTGGGTATGCCAGGAATTCCGCCTGTGGGTATGCCAGGAACTCCGCCTGTCATCAAACTAGGCCAAAACAAAAAAGAAAAACGGTTGAAAGAAATCATTTCTACAAAAAAAATGCAATATGTGTATGTCTGTCTGTGAGAGCATACCTGGGCATGAGGCCTGGTGCTTCTGTCTGCAGAGTCTGTAGACCCTGCTGGATCTGCATTAGAGCTTGCATGGCCCGGGGATTGGTCATCACTGACAGGGCTTCTGGGTTCTGCATCTGCAACCGAACAGACAGTGTAGCAATGAATTAACTAATCGATCAACCAATTAATAGTCCATATACTGTACCTTAGTTTTTGTTAAGTCTTTTTAATAAAAAAAACCCTAAGTCACATACTCGCCAAATGTCTGGAATTGTGACTTAGAATTCATGAGAAAATGTAAAAAGACTTATCAAAAACATCCAAATTAGTAGCTAAAAAATGTATAGTAGATATCTTTAATCCTAGAGACAAATATGTCCAGCATGTGCAGATAAATATCTGCGCTTTCACAACATGTGGATCTGCTGTGGGCCACTCAGTGCCGTTCTTTGTTATACCACTAGGACGGTGTTTCTGTCTTAATGGGAAAGAAAAACTTAAAAATCCAGGACAGAGTTATTGGACTGAAGTGTGTGTGGTACCTGCTGCAGAAAGATGGGCAACTGAGATCTGAACTGTTCCTGCAGCTGTGGGTTTCCAGCAAACAAAGGGTTATTCATCAAAACCTGGTAGAGAGAGAGAAAGAAAGACAGTCAAGCTAATGTGTCACTCCACATCTGGCTATGCTGCTTATTCACTAGAGTTGATATTTAAATTATAAATGCTTTAGCACATTGGCAAAAATTTTAAACAAAATGTTGAATACCAGAAATACAAACTCTCAAGAATCCCTGTCTTTCATGTCACTGTGTGTGCAGGTTGTACCGGTTTGCTGTGCAGTCAGCATTGTTTATTAGAACCAAACAAGTTAGTGCTGTGTTGTTTATTCTTTCTTACAATTCACTGCAAATGCAAGTGAGCTTAACAGACAATCCCCTCTGTTGAGTGTGCACTAAATAGCTGGGCTTATTGGCCTAATGCACAACAGACCTAGCTAGATCCTACTATTTACAATTCATTACAAACGGCAGAGTTCAATTTAATCAATCGATTCCATATGTGGTACACAATCAGAACAAAGAGGTCTAAGGCAAGATCGGAATCTAAAACAATCAGGATTTGCGCTGTAATATCACCATATCTGTGGGTGTTTTCTGGATGGTTGGTGTGTATGTTACATGTGTTCGTGTGCACCCATCATTCTGTTTCATACCTGGGAGGCCAATTCTGGGTTTTGAGCCAGTGACTGCATCATACTGCGCATGTAGGGAGCAGACAACATGTTCTGCATCAGCTGAGGGTTTTCTGAGATCTGCTGCAGTAGACTCTGCATGCCCGGGCTGTTGAACATCCCTGCAACGCACAGAAAAGACAGGTGTTTATTTATGTATATGTGTAAGGGGGTAGGTTAATAAGTGACCTAGCATGCACGTGTGTGGAGAATCTTGCCATGGTTTGTCTTACCATTGCCCAGACTGCCAGGGTTAATGCCCAGAGGGTTGGACACACTGGGAGTGGTGCCTCCACTGGTGCTAGTGCTTCCTGTGGTGGCCCCTCCACTCTCAGACGGGTTAGAAGAATTTGGTGGTCCCCATGGATTGGGCAGGGGCTCGCGGTTCTCTGTCCGTGATGGCTGGGCACCAGACTCAGAGGTCCCACCTAGAGCTGAGAATGGGTTGCTACCAAACTACAGGGAAAGAGATTAGAATACTATTTGAATACTGGAAAACAGTTGAAATATAGTTAGCCAGGTAACACTGGCAAATAAAACCATGCAAAGGTTATAGAATGTGCGAAAAAAACGAACCCCAAAAAAGGATTAACACAGCACAAACAAACAAGGATTTGATCAGTAAACATTTCTCCCAGATACCTGTTCCCTGGCAGCGCTGAACATGGGTTCCTGAATGTCTGTGTACATCCTCCGCAATGCATTGTAACCTCCTGGGATGCTCTCCAAGTTGCTCAGAGCCCGGTCCTGGTTCCGCATCATTTCCTGCATCATGGCTGGGTTCCTGGCCAGCTCCATGGTCTGGGAGGGGAGATAAAATGGGGAGAAGAGGCAAGTCAGTAAAATGTGATTTTAAATAGAGAAAGTAAATGAATAAACAGAATAAAGCTTCAGAGGAACCTACTGTAGTTATGCTTTGCTACAAGTAACTAACTATGTTCCAATCAGTCCCTCTCCATCTCCTTTACCTGTCTCATGAGCTCAGGGTTGTTGAGCATATGGGAGATCTCCGGGTTGCGTTCCATCAGCTGTTGCATCTGAGGGTTGGCCATGATCATCTGTCTCATCAGGTCTGGGTTGGACATCATGTTCTGCACCAGCGGGTTCTCCATGATCTGAGAAAGCATCTCTGGGTTGGACATGAGCTGCCTCTGCATCTGTTGCTGCAGCTCCATGAAGTTAGCCGAGCCCATGCCCAGTCCAGCCAGACCAGCCAGGTCACCGAAGCCAGCTGAGGGACGCCAGATGGGTGGGTGGTGGTTATACACATTATTTTTATGGTGCTCAAGTAATGAAGGGGGTTTGAATGCAAATAGTTACGAGTAGGTGGACTCACTCAGTATATTAGGCGTCTGTGTGGGAGGTGCGGTAGTGCCAGTAGAGCCTGCTGTGGAGGAGGGGTTGGTATCCGGACTAGAGGCGGAGGTATTGCCTGCTTGAGTGGAGGTCGAGCTAGAGGCCGAGGTGCTACCGCCATCTCCTGCCCTACAGGGATAATTTGTGGTGTATGAGAAATTCAGTACTTGTAAGCTGAAAGGGCTTCTGTACAGTCAGTGAAGTTAAACATAAATACAACAAATACAGTTCACTGAATTACACATCAAGATTGTGTTACAAGGCGAATTAATCCTTCTTGCAGGCTCCGCTCGAAAATGATCTGCTGAACAAACATGATTTGTAAAATAATGTAGCCTTACTTTTGTGCTGTCTTTATGACTAGGTGTACTGTCAGGCCATCCTTGATGCCGTGTTGGCTGAGGCTGTCGCCGTCCTTCAAGATCTTCCCTGCAAAAATTAGAACCAACTGGTCCTGTTTGGCTTTGAATCGCCTCGAGATCTCTTCTTTAAACTATAAGATAGTAAGAAATATGGAGGGATGGGAAATGGGACAAGAAGGAAAGGGGGTGAGAATGAAACAGGAAATGAAAAGGATAATATTAACAATAAGATGGTTACACCTCAGTAGTGCTGCTTGAATGTGTTTCTGTTCTGTTGCAACCTTCAGGCCTCAAATTCCAATTTCCAAGAAAGTCCCCTGTTCCTATCCTACAAGCAGGGGTCCAAACACTCAAAATCTGCAAAATCGTGGTTAACCTTTGACTATTGTGTGAAATATAACTAGCGCTTAAAATGGTCTCATCCTGACAGAAGCTGCTTGAGTTTCACTGTAAATAAGAGGTATCTTAATACTGTAGTGTCGATAGTCAAATTATACAGGATATGAATTTTAATAACTGAAGCAGATAAGACAGAGGACACCAAGGATGATCCCTATCATGCAAGATTAATAAAAACCCAATGTTATTTATACGCACAGATCATCTGGTTGTGCTATATCCACAAACAAATGAAATGATGAAAAGTGTTTTCTGTAGCGCTTCCTCTGCCTGAAATATGCTAAACCCCAAAAGATAAACATCAAAGGAAGAATTCCTTCCAAAAAGTCACTAAAACAAAAGCAGATTCATCTCACATAGATGCTCTCATTCTTGTCCTGTTGTTGCTGCTTATTTTGACAGTTATTGTGCTTTATGTTTTTGTTGATTTCTCCTTTCACATGCAAGATCATTTCATTTATTTTCTGATGTCCAAGTCTGTTTTGTTCCGCCTTTCTTGTTCAATTGACATTGTGTGCTTTTTAAAAAGCTGTGTGCAGCCATGAAAGAGCAGCAACCCCTTTGTGGCAGCTAAAGGCCTGAGAAGAAGAATGCCATTATTCACACCACTGTATATAAAAAGGTGCCTCTCTTGTCATTATGCATATCAAATATGAAACCACATGTACTTAGATAACAATAACAACACTTACTCGGAAGTCAGACATGTTAGGTTCAATGTCTGAACATTAGGGGATGAACATACAACCAGACTACTTCAGATCACACAGTAATCACACAAGCGTGAATGCTAAGGAAACTACGATGTGATTCTAGCTACATGTAATGCATTGTGGTTTCACTGTAACACGTCGCCAGGCCAACAGTTGCTCTGAGTTAGTAGCTCTGTATATTCCCCTGAAAGCTGAATGACTCAGTGGCAGCAGTGAGAATGTTCTAGAGGGATAGCAAGCTTTAGCATTTTGAATGCTACTGAGCTGAAATGGGAAATGAAAGCGATTCGGTTTATCATCAACCCCCCCTCCTCAAAAGCCACTTCCATGATTCTATCAGGCCATTGTTGCATCGGGCACAGCGAGAGCGCAACCCGTCAGCTGACACTTGTTTGGCTACATACCTAGCTTAACGTTGGCTCAGCCCGCACTCTTAGCTCACCGGCTAACTGTTACCGATAGCTGGCTAGCCGGTCGGTTAGCCATTTCAAACGTTAACGTGGTTAATATCTCTCCGTTGGGTGTCGACGACGTCGGTGACACCACACAGTAGTTGACCCACTCTGTCACACTCTCACCACACACACACGACCTCTTTAATTACACACACTATCGGTTAGCCGGTAAGAGTGACGATGCTATGCTAATGCTAACGCGGCTAACTAGCTTCCTAGCTGAAGTTGTGGGCAGGGGCATGACGTTAGAGCACCGCGCTGAACCAAAACAAACCAACCTGAGTGACAGAGGCATCTTCTGCGATGGCGATTTCTTCTTTGTCTTTAGGGGTTTTTACTGTGACCTTAATAATAGTTCCCTCCGATGCTTCAGGTTTATTATTGTTGTTATTACCAGGATCTGCGGCGCCTTGGTCAGCCATCTTTACTCCGCCGATGGAACAGCTCGGGTCTGGCGTCAGCTTCCGGGTCATAAGAGGTCAAACCTCTTTCCAGAACGAGTCTCAAGAGTTGCCATGTGAGCCTGGTCACCTCAAGTACAAGACCAAAAGTATGTTTCCCCTGAAATTTCTGCTGTTGGTTCAGGTTTATGTTATGTTTGATGAAGAAACTGTTAGAGATTGTCTCTATATGTGGTTCTATTGCTTTAACAGATGGCCTGTGTCAGGAAAGTTGTTGTTCGACCCAACATCTAAACTAAAGAGACTTCATGAAAATCTAAGTTAAGAAGTGCAGAAACCATCATTGAATCCATTAATCAATCGTCAGAAAACCAATAACCAACCCTTTTGATTATCACGTAATCATTTAAGTCATTTAACAAGAAATACATTGCTGAATGTTTCTCAAATATGAGGATTGTCTACTTCGCCTTCAATTATTAAATTAACTTAAATATCTTATGATGGACATTGTGCAGAACTAACTGACATTTAATAAGCCAATAATGGCATTTAATAATCAGCTGGTTAATGATAATGATACATGTTGTTGGAACCACAGATAGAGAGAATGGCTTTTGTGTCACCTACTGTATATAGATTATCCTCCTCCCAGGAGGGCTTTAGTTATGAACATACGTTAATATGCCTGCAGGTCCCTAATGGTTAGGTTAACCTGCAACTGGCCAGAGTCTTGAGAGGGCCAAAAGAATGATTAATAAGATAGATAGATAGATAGATAGATAGATACTTTATTTGTCCCAAGGGAAATTCAAGTATCCAGTAGCATACAAAATACAAAACATACATTAAACATACATTAAGAATAGAAATAAAAATAAAATAGAAGATAAAATGTAAAGTATACATTAGACTAAAATTAAAATCCCTAACCTTAAGAATAGAATTAAAAATAAAATAGAAGATAATATATATGTATATATATACATATATATAATTAACAGTAGCCAATAATGTAAGAAAAATGTGCAATATTTAAAAGGTCCAGTGTGTAACATTTAGGAGGATCAATAAGCAGAAATGGAATATAAGATTTATTGGTATGTTTTCATTACTGTATAATCACCTGACCTTAGTATGAGCCGTTAGTACCATATTGAACCACCATATTTCTACAGACAAACCAAACACTGGCTCTAGCTAGGGCCTTTTGCGTTTCTCCAACATGCTTAAAATGTAAAGTTGAGGTGAGGGGGTTGTAATCTGTACTATGCCGCTAGGTGCCACAGAATGCTACACACTGGTCCTTTAAGCTTGGTTGAAAAGCTGATGCTAAATGGAATTGCCAGCTTAAATTAGTATGAAATTTCTGTGAGATTCAGATCCTATTTTGTTTTTTATTGTGTCATTATGGTCGTATAACTGTTTATAAGTTCATGTGAAATCATTACAACCTACGTATTATCCCTGGCTTTGATAAGTTAAAAACTTTAAGAAGTCAAAAATTGAGGAAATTACATCAAATGTGCAAAACTAGGGGATTTTAGTCAGTTTAAATTTTAAATTCTTACAGCAGTCAACATGTTGGTGAGAAAATTCCCCTCATCAGTCATTCTGCTGGTTTTAGGTGTATTTTTAAATAGTTTTGGTAAATTTGATCAAACACTTGTCAAAATGGAAAATGTTGTGCATACAGTACAAATTACAGTAAGACATCATCGTTTGACATATCATACAAAACATGTGATATGTAGTATGGAAAGAGTGTCGATACTTGCATTTGAATGAAGACTGGTAGAGATCACGTTCACCAGCCACTTTATTAAGTACACTTGTACAAACTATTAATCCAATACAACAGATCTACTATAAATTAAATTCAGTTCAATTCAGTTTTATTTGTATAGCACCAATCCATAACAAAAGTTATCTCAGAACACTTTTCAAATAGAGCAGGATGGATGCTGTCAGAGAGCCATTCATTTAACTACATGTTTGTTATTGAGGCTGTAGTTTGCAGTCGTGTTGAACTGGACTGCATTCTCTTGAGCGGTTTCTAGTATTTTGGCCAGCTCATTTACATACACATGTGAAACAGAATATTAGAAACCTCTCAATATAATGCACTCCAGTACAACACCACTACCCAGTATGACCTCAATAATTAATAAGTAGAATAATTACTTTTCTCACAGTGTCAACAAAAACTTATAAATAAACTTACTAATAAAGAGCGTATTATTATAGTTCTGGTCTAAATTGATACACGTCTTATTAGTAAAATAAAGTGTGACCAATAATCCTATAGAAGAGGGAGAGAGAGAGACTGCCTGTGTAGAGCGCTCCCTCTATATGTGTCCCTCCACACTGCCACAGTGTGACAGCACTGAAAGAAAAGTGTGTGTTTCAGCATGTCGCATTGACACAGACAGTCCTGCATACCTATGCATATCCCCAGTTCTAGAGCACACCATTTACAAACAAACAAAACCCCCCAAAAAGAAACATGGACCACCACCCCTTTTTCTAAGGCCTCACCTCACCGCGCCCCCCTCTCACACACACACACACACACTCAAATGTACAGGGTCACATGCACTGTGGCCCCTACGGTGTCTCATTCAAGTGCATCCCACACAGGGAGACTGATTGCTGCAAAGGATTTTGCTTTCATCGACAGAAAAAAACGAGGCGACAACTTTTGTGGTTGTAGTATTGTCAGTGACTCTCTCTCTTTCACCCCAAGTGAGCAACAGGTCTCTCTCTCTTCCCCTCTACCCGTTTCTATCTCTAACTCAGAAAGGTAGGCAGTAGAGAGGGTGCATTTCCAGAAACAAGGTAAGGGATACAATATCACAGTGTTTTTTGTGTATCCTGGAGCAATACATTTTCATTTATGATGACTGCGATTGGACAGAGGCTGGCAGAATCAGATAAAACGTCATTACTGCTGAACAATCACTGGTGTGACATGAAGATTGGGAAGGGGAAACAACAACAAACTGCAACATTATAAGTCTAACTTTGGTTTTGCTTTGCACCTGTTCAACTAATAGGGATGTTTCCACTAAAGAAGAGGTAAATATGATTGATAGAAAGTTTGTAGGAATTAGTTTCTACAAATTAAGGCATCAAAGGAGCTATAAATGTGTTTGTTATATGTTCAAATATTGAGTAAAATTCAAAGATTGGATGTTTGTTTCACATTTCTTTGGTTTAGTTCCTCTTTGTGGGTTGGCTTTATGATAGGCTGGCATCATATGTGGTTTTCCAACAGCTCTAAATGGACAGTTTGGAGTATTTAATTTGACTGATTCGATTTAACTGCCACATGGATCCTTTGTCCAAGTGTTGGCAGAGTTTGTATAAAGATGTGGAGTACCAGTACATTTTTAGGGATGTCTAATGTTTTGTCATTGTACACGTATCGTGTCACATAGGGAACATATTTTATTTTTAATTCATACGGTGTTTTTATTTTAGCAAGTTGCAGTTCAGGCAGTATATGTGTGCTTATAGTGCAAAATGTGTTCAATTCTACTTGACACACAGACGTGTGAGTGTGAGTAAGAGTGTAATTAGTCAATAGCAAAACATTATTTTACAATATCTGCAGCACCCTGAACTTGACCATGATTTTTCCTCCCTACATTACAGTTGCTCTTCAGAGGCCCCGTTAACTCATCTCAAGATGTACAGCTTCATGGGAGGGGGCCTGTTCTGTGCTATTGTTGGTAATATCCTGTTGGTGATCTCCACTGCAACCGACTACTGGATGCAGTACCGTCTCTCTGGAAACTATGCCCACCAGGGTCTGTGGAGGTACTGCATGTCCAACAAGTGCTACATGCAGACTGACAGCATAGGTAAGTCACTCAGGATGTCTTCCAAGACAACAATTAATATGAAACAAAAGCACATATTGAGTTTCCATCAGGAGGGAGTGGGTTTCTGTTGTGTCACTGCAGACGCTCTGACTGAAGTCCCTGTATATTTGAGCACCAGCTAATGCAAGAAACCTTTTCTGAAGAGTGTGAGAAATCTGATGCCCCATACCACCCCATCTTTGGGTCTGATATTGGGATTCTACAGTTGGATTGTGTAAAGTACATTACAACTAACATTATTTCCCTGCACAGAACAACAAATGGACTCTGAAAAGTCTGGTTTTCTGCACTGAAAATTAAAATGATCCTGACAGTTACCATGCCAGTATCAATTAAATTGTGATTACATGTTTGTAATAATGGCATATTTGATGACTTCTACTTGTTTCCTTCCAGCTTACTGGAATGCCACCAGGGCCTTCATGATCCTTTCAGGGATGTCGTGCTTCGCAGGCATCATCGCTGGCATCATGTCCTTTTCACACTTCTCATCCTTTGAAAGATTCAATCGCTCCTTTGCTGCAGGAATCCTGTTTTTTGTCTCCAGTAAGTTTTGTTTCTTCTGTATTTACACACACACACACACACACACACACACACACACACACACACACACACACACACACACACACACACACACACACACACGCACGTACTCTCACATTAATCATAACTGACACGCACCTTCCTATGTCCCCATCAGCTTTCTTTGTTCTGCTGGGTATGGCCATTTATACTGGAGTGACAGTCAACTTCCTGGGCAGGCGCTTTGGTGACTGGCGCTTCTCCTGGTCCTACATACTGGGCTGGGTGGCCATGCTCATGACCTTCTTTGCAGGTGAGAAAAGACAAAGGCCGGGGGTTAGTCTTTGTCCAGACATAAACCCCAGTATTATTCAAACCTGTCAAAGAACTCAGAAGAAGCAATAACAACAGAAGTTACGATCAAATATTGGAGACAAGAAGCGTTGTTGTTAGGTATTTTGAGATCATCTCTTTTCGTATTAATACAGTATGGATGGAATCTTAATATATATATTTACAAGGAGAGTTTAAGCTGAAATAAGATAAGTAGAAAACATAACACTCTTCAAAGCCAGACTAGCAGACCTGTTGAATGTCATTAATACTGTACATAAGCAAACACATTGCCTTTGTCTGTTGCAGGTATTTTCTACATATGTGCCTACAGAATGTGTGAATGCAGGAGAGGAAATGGCCCCCGCTAGAGGGAGACAAATAGTTTGTTTTAACAAAAGAGGACAATACCACTTTTGAATTAAGGACAAACAGAAGCCACTCTTGACTGATCTACTGAAGAGATGACGTCTGATGCTGCTCCTGGAGACCTTCGATGGTCTGCGTAACATTTTTTCTAAAAGTCTTATTTTTAAAATATGGGTTGTTTTTAGGAATATAGTCATGATGATAGCACAGAGGAACACTTAATAAAACTGATCATGTTGTAACGGGATATTGGTATTATTTAACTTTCTAAATCCGATTATTTTGGCACATTCAATAAAGTTGGTCCTCAAACGTCAGTGTGATTTTTTCAGCTGTACTGAGAGAACACCAGAAGATGGCAGCACTAAAGCACTCTACTAAAAGTACTAGGATACACTTCTGTTGGATGAGGGGTGCAGGCATTGTATTACAGATTAAATCAGGATCAAATATCTGATAAGACTGCAGACTACTGAGAAACATCGACCATGTATCTACAGTCATAACCCTCTAACTCTCTCAAATTCAGCATCTCAGACAACTGAAAATGTTTCCCCTCAGGAAATTGTAATAATTCTTCATAGAAGTAGGCAAAATATTCTGTAGGAAGGTATATAATGTGGAAAAATTAGTCTACACAGCAGAGAACAATACATCAAAGGTATACAGTACATATGTTTGCCTCAGGATTCCCCCTGAAGCTATTTGATTTGTTCCTGCTTCAGTGCAAGGAAGGAATCCCCCCAAACTAATAGTGAGTATGTTTTTTATTAGCTTGTTGTTCATGGGAAAGGGTTTTGCCTCTGGCAGCCAGCATGATCTTCCACAACATGTTTGTTGACGTCCCCTGAATACACTTAAGAACAGTCAGTACATGGAAAAGCATTGGGAGGGGTGTTTGTGTTTGCATGTGTGTTTGCAGAACAGTCTACACAGAAACTGAGGAGAAGATCATGTTCTTTAGACGAACCGGGGAGACCATGGGTGGGGTCTCGAGCCACTGATTGTTCCACTGCCCCTATCTCTAATAACTGCTTCCTCCTTTTTCTTGGTACTGGTCCATTTCCTTACACATGAGCTGGGAGGAGAGGGGCAGGAGCTACTGAGGTAATAAATGCTTTGGCTACTAGTGACGAAGAAACAATGAGAGAAATGTAAACAGTCACTGGACAGATCCCTTGAAGTTTCCATACTTGTCCCTGTGGCTGCTGAGAGCAATAGGCTCTGTAATACTGTGTGCTTTTCTCCAGATTCTTTCATAACCCACTCCAAAGCTTTCACTGACGCCAGGTCTTAACAGTCTACGGGATAACTTGGCAGACTTTAAGAAAATCAACTAAATGACTAGTAATATTTGTTTACTGCAGAAATATATGGTGTTGTTTTCAAAAGTACTGGATAACATTTTAAATCCTACAATATATCTTTGCCCAAAACAAGGGGAGCAAATTGCCAGTCGTGTATAACAATTGACTTATATTTTACCTCAAAACACAACTCAATTTACACAACACAATACAATTTTCTTGCAGTAAGAAAGACAATATGAGATTATATAAACTAGTAATACTATCTTCCTCATTCTGTTGTATATGTGCAATATGATTAACTTTATTGTGAAGCAGTCTAGCTTGAACTGAAAAATAGAATGATCCCATCTCAGCAACAGGTTGTTTCCACTGACATTCCTGAGACGGCCTGTTACTGAAAGCCTTTAAAACTGCTCACATGTTACCAGCAGAAACTGACCAGACCATTTGTGTATTTAAAGTTGAAGTATAACTTAAAGTGTGCAGTGAATATACCCAGATCCCATTAAAAGGTTTCATACATGAGTGATTGGATGCAGGAATGCAAGGTTAAGGTCATCTCTCCAAGGCGTCTGTGCTGGACACGGCAGGTCTGCTCACCCTTCAATTAGTGAGAACACCTGGTAGTTTTCACTGACACAGCCTGTTGATATATGTGACAATTTGCTCATTATCGCTAATTTTTACAGACCTGCCATTTCTCTCACTTCAAACAGGAGGGTGTCTTCTGTCCGGGTTGGAACACTGTCCCTCTCTGAGGCAGATGTGCACCCAGGTGTTTATGTGGGACATGGAGGCACAGACACACAAACACACTGAAACACCAAAACAAATATAAGGAGAGGAAATCGGTGGAAATTGTATTCATTTAAAGTACTGTGCTAAGAGTAGAGACTTTTTAGAGAATTTATGAAGAATGATTCAGTTTGATGAATCAAAGAAAAGTTAATGTTTGTCATTGATAAAATAAAATAAAAACACATATGTACACTGCAGGTGTTCATATTGATGAATAAATAAAGTAAGTTTTTACTATTGTGTTATTCATACTGTACAGCTATGCCAAGCCCACAAATTCGCTGACAGGTGAAGTGAATAACACTGATGATCTGGTTTCCATGGCACCTGTCAGTGAGTGAGATATATTAGGCAGCAAGTGAACAAGTTGATGTGTTAGAAGCAGAGAAATGGGCAGTGTGAGGATTTGAGCGACTTTGACAAGGGCCACATTGTGATGGCTAGATGACTGGGTCAGAGCATCTCCAAAACTGCAGCTCTTGTGGGGTGTTCCCGGTCTGCAGTGGTCAGTACCTATCAAAAGTGGTCCAAGGAAGGGAAAGTGGTGAACCGAAGACAGGACTAGGACAGCCAAGGCTCCCTGATGAGTGGGAATAGAAGGCTGGCCTGTGTGGTCCGATCCAACAGACGAGCTACTGTAGCTCAAACTGCTGAAAAAGTTAATGCTGATTCCGATAGAAAGGTGTCAGTTGTTATAGTTGTTAATGTTATGGCTGATCAGTGTATGTATCGTATGTGTGTATATATATATATTAATTGATTATGCATACTCTTTGGTCTGGTCTTTCACTGAGTGATGCTCAGAGTTATTGCTCTCAGTAATGGAAGAGTACGCTGACACAGCGGGACCTTGTAAAAACTGTCCTCATCCCACCCGGCCTCATCCCATGAAGCTTCCCCCTGAACACCCTGCACCCAGTCCCTCCCATTGTGGCACTGATCCCAAAAGTTCCTAAAAATCACATACCTTCTCTACCATCTAACTTACATACATGCAGACTATATAAGGCATTTTTTCCAGATCATCACACCTTGTTTCAGTGCTTCCGTGATACGCTACAAACTGTAACATTTTGTGTGTTAACAATGAGGCCGTGTGGTTTTGAAAAGACTTTATTGTGCCGCACAAGTGAACACTGTTGCATTTAGTGTACACAATACAGGAGACAGACAGAAAACATTGCACAGGAAAAAACAAAGAATAAAAGTATATAATTTACATATCTTGTCATAAATAATGTCTACACATCAGTGAATATGGAGTGGTTCATTTTACATAAAATACACAACTTTTGAGTGAATGTCTGCTGCAGCTGGGTTTTTTTTTGGAGGAGAGGTTGTGTAGTTGGAGAATTGCTGAAAGTAATACCAATTTCTATGGAATAAAGTTGGGTTTTGCAGACTCTTTAGTAATATAGTTAATCCCAATGCTATAAAAGAGAAGAGAGTTTTTTTTAACCCTTCTTTTATATATATTCAGTGTATATACAGCATGTACTGTAGGTCCAAGCCAACTGTTAATCCAACATATAGGCAAAATAATTTCACACTGCCAATAAGATGTCTCTACTCTTTGATTTACGCTTTTATTAGTTTCCAATACTTCATTCTGAATGAAAAAAAGTCACGTCTGCTTTTCTCACCAGTGTCATACTGTCTGTAACTAACCCTATATCTTAATTCATTTTAACGGCGTAACAACTTGACTGGTAAAAACATGGACTTTAAACAAACCAATCTGTGCACTTTCAGTGAAGACTGCAACACAGTAATGTAAACTAACCGAGCAGCTGACATTTTGTCCATTGGTGTTTTTCTCTTTTGTAAAGGAGCTATAGTAACATGATGAAAATATATAAAAAGAAGAAACTCCTCCTTTCTACTGACAAAGAATGAATCACTCTTCAGGCAAAAGAGCTCAGTTTCACATTGTCCTTGGTGTCATTTATTGTAAACCTGTTGTTCATCTCATGTTTATTGGCTGCTCTTCATCTTCCCCTGTCCTCGCTCACTTCAGAATGAAAGGAAAGATTCAGTACATTGCAATAATAATGCTTATCTATCCACCACATTGCACATTGCCTATTCATCCAGACATTCTCTCTTTGCTTTTATGTCTATCTGCCTATCCATGCCTGAAGGAGATGATGCAGGGACCTTAAAGATCACAAGACATGACGATATAGAAATAAAGCCTTTTGAAGTTACAGCTGAAGCACATCAGGGTGTAATTTAAGGTAAGCGATAATATGCTTTCCTTTTCAAGTGAGGCCGTGCTCCAAGAAGATCTGAAAATCCCTCAATCAGCCTTAACCAGTTGAAATAAAAACATCATAAAGCGCTGCGGTAGTGTAAGATAGGCACACGGCTGATAAGTTGGAACATGTTATGTTTTTCAGCAAAAAACAATAAAAAGCTAAAATAAAATATGAGAACATAAAGCCAAACAGTTCATCTGCAAAATGGGTGACCTGACCATACGAGATGCATCGAACTAAAGACTCATCAAATACTGTAGCACAACTGGACTTTAGCAGCAGCATCCCCCCCCCCATCCTCCTCGCTGTGGTCAAACAGTTACAACTATGTAGAAGCAGAAAAGCGAGTTGATGAGCGTGTTATGAAAGTTACTACATACAGTACATCTTTAAACACGTAGTAAAATAAAAATATGACTGCAACATAAAAAATAACATCCGTAGCTCAAATTGTTACAGTGAACACAGAACAGGTCAAATTAAGACTACCATACACAAACACTTTCTTTTGCAGTGGTTAAAACCGCTCTGTTTCTTAAACGAATTACAACCTTTTTAACCACATCAGTGTTTCATTTTTCCAAATGAGACAGTGGGGTCAAGAATGGCAGCATGGCCTTTGTTTACATGTGTATCATTGTTCATGGTGACTTTTTTCATCTAGTGTGACTGGAAATTATTTATTTGACCTGCAGCCAAGACCAAATGTTTAATCTTATTTTACTGACACTGTCCTTCCCAGTATAAGCAAGGAGAAGAAGGGCCGAGATATAGTATGTTTCATTATTAAATCGCTTTAAAATGTCTGATGGGAGTAATTCTGATTGCTGGTCATGGTCGAAAGCACTGTAAACCCTCCTAAAATCACAATTAAGAGGTTTTTTTAATCTTATACTTCAAATCTCCTCCCGCTTCCAGTGTTAGAGTCTACGTTTTCATTGGAATGTGTGAGAAACTCTACCGCCTGCAGCTGCTTACTCCATACAAGTGTCTTCTCTAAAACTGAGGGAATTAGGAAAACCGTGCGTCTGTATGGCTGACAAGGAAATGTCAGTAAGGTCATCTATGATACATTATCATGTTACATAGTTTGGCTGGGTGTGTCTCTCAGAAAGGGTCTGATAATCTGACTCTCAAATTTCCTCTTTTCCAAGCTGAGCCTGTGAAACTGGGTCTGTGTGGATTATAGATTTAAAGCTAGAAAAGACTAAAGGTTCAGGTTGACAAAGAAGCACAAAGAAGAATAAAAAAGATCAGATTGAGCTTCTCCTTCTGTCATCGCCCAACTTTGACATGAACATGTTTCACCAGATATTATGCTGAGGATTCTGGGAAGTGTGGTCTTTGGATCAGTAGGTACCTGAGGCGCCTAATTGCAAGGCAACGTAGAAGAGCTTTAGCTTAGTCGAGTTTTTCTTAGTTTTTTGGTGCCATAAACCTTGGGTTAAAGGGAGAGTGGGGAGTGTTCTCTTAAAAGGATAAAGGTGGAGGGGTTGTATTGATCCCCAGTGGAAAGTAAGGTATAAAAATAGAGGGTTCAGGGGCTCTGGGGTTGATTTTGTGGCTGTCCGAGCTGGATGTGCGGAAGTTCTTGGTATGGTTCTCCTCTCGGGTAAAAACCAGCTATAGGTGGGATTAAAAACAAAGGTCTTGTGTGGTTTTAACATCTGTTGTGTCTCTAAACGTGTCTGCGACGATGGTGGTGGTGATGGTTGTGCATGTCCTCCATTGTGATCCTGCCCCAAACACCGATCACAAATGTTTCAATCTCACACTCATTGTCCCCTCGAGCGATTCGGAAGTAGCCGTTCTCTCCCCAGTTCTTTCCCCAGGAGTTGGCAGCAATCTGAAAAGGAAAGTATAGTCAAACTTACTGTAGATGAAACTTATTTTAATTTAAAATGCATTTACAATACCTGGTTATATTCATGCACATTAGGAAATGAACAGAACTGACTACACTATCAGAAACTGCCTTTAAAAGGTCTATTTTATTCCTTTGAAAAAATATGTCAGAAAGTTCTTGGGAAGCAAAAACCACAGTTACAGTATTTAGGACACCTAAAAAAGTGTTTTGCACAATGAAAAAACTTACCCAATATTTTTTTGATGTCCCATCATAGTGTCTCTCCTCTCCCCACCTGGTGCATGAAGCAAAGAGGATGGTTACTCAAAATACATTCAAGTGAACAACAGGATGACCAAATATCCCTAAATACAGACTTAAATCAGCTGTGTAAAAGTTGCGCTGCTATTTTTAAAGCATGGATGCTTTCCAACAAACATGTCTTATATATACACTTCTCTAAGTAGAGTTCAAGTGAGGGGGGGGTGTAAAAAAAATATTTCATCTTGTTAACAACATCCTAAAAACAGAGTATTTATGGCTGGACGCCGCCTAGCTTCACTCCTACATCATTCCAACCCGAAGAACACGGAATTTCCCTTTTCCTCTGTCATTTCCCTTCTCCAGATAGAAAGGAGAAGGCAGGTTTACTAGGAAGTGAACACCATGTCAAACCAGTCCATGCACTGGACAGCCGATAACAACACTAATGTTGGAAAACAAAGAAAAATACATGTGTGAATCTGATCTTAGGGGCCTATCTTTACCCTTCTCCCACTCCAGCATCTTTGTTCTCATGAAAACTTGGCAAAGGCTCATAAATTCCCATCATGCCTTGCGCTTTGGTCTTAGCTTAGCTCCCTGCCAACTTTTTAGACGCCTGCCGTTTCTGCTTGTCATGATCAAAACATTCTCCCAAAGCCAATTCCCATCCTGTTTTTGCACTCCAGGCCTTTCGTTTCACAAGAGACTCTCGGTGCCCAATCGCTTGTTATCTTTTATAAGGGAAAGGAATGCTGGGAAATAGAGTGGCTGGTCTCAAGCTTTGCCAACTCAGTAGCCCGCCACCACAACGGCTGGCAGATAGTGCCAATCTTCTATCAACGAATGACTTTATTAGCCCTGTGTTTCTCTAACTGGAGTCAGACATCACATTGACCAGGAGCAGACACATTAGAAACCACTGTGCAAACAACAGATGCTAACTACAATCTGAAACACACTCGAGAGATGGGACGTTGTGAGCAAGGGCACATACACACTTGCATATGTGTGTGTGTGTGTGTGTGTGTGTGTGTGTGCGTGATCCCATATGCATGCCTGCCTGCCTGCATATTTATTGGTATGGACAGAGCCAGACAGAATCGGACCACTGCTGTCCTCCTATCTGGCCTCCAATCAGCTCACTTGCTCACTCTGGGACAATGATGGGCATAAGCGGTGTGCCCATGTGCCCCGCCCTTCCCCAACGCCCCTCAGCCCACCCCTGACCTCTTCTCCGAGGATTGATCCCCCTCTCGCTGTCCGGTGCAGTCAGGATCAGCAGCCCAGACAATGCCCTTTCCACCACAGTGGACCTCAATGCTCTTTCCACAAACTTTCCCAGGCACTGGGCTTAAAGGGATGCATCGCTATGGGATTTGGCCTATGTAAACACACTGATGCCTGTGGCTGGCAGGTTGGAGCTCAAAACACTTTGCCCCCTGCCCCCCCTCTCTTTGCTCCATCCGTCTCTAAAGCTGTGTCGCTGGTACATCCACATCCACTCAGCCGGTGAGCGACAGCATCAGTAGAAGGAGCCAAAGAGCAGGAGGCGCTCAGTAAAGCTGGGACTCCTCATCCTCACCATCATTTCACACCATTCCTCCACAGTTTATTGACAAACCGAGGCAGTAGAGATGTAATTATAGTATGATGACATGAACGTGGTGAACAAACATGTGCATCCAAAGTTTTCCAACAACACATTTCAGAACAGCACATGCTTATAAAGTATGTGATTTGAACAAGCTAAGTACAGGTTTGAGGCTGAGGGCTTGAGTGTTTATCGCATACATGCCTATACATGCTATATGATGTCATAAAATATACATGTAAGACACGCAGATGAAAAGGGACGTGTGAAGCGGGGTTGTGTTTTGACTTCATCAATGGCCGATCAGATAAAAGTAGAGAGACTGCTGAGATCCCCTGTCTGGATTTTTTTTTCTTCTCTTTTTTTTAGAAACTAATGTTCAAGTCAAGGACAGGCTCAGATGCTGAGGTACTAAGATACAGTCAAATTCTTACAAACACACATTCCTTAGACGCCATTATAGACCCATTACGAGGTAGCTGCTCATTTCTATAATTTGGAAAGTGAGACTAGTAAGCGGCAACGTATCATTGACACACTTTAAAACCAGCTGGAGGACTCACAGAGAAGAGGCTGTCAAATATTTACAACTTAAATGGATGTTTCGGATTGTTTACAGGTCAAAAACCTCTCCTGGCCTCTCGCTGCCCTCCAAACAGTACATAAAACAGCAGAAAACAAACCACCTGTCTGTCTAAGGATAGTGTAAATGATAGGAGAGGTATTTTGGCTTGGATGTGGAGAGCAGAAAAAGAGATGAAGCAGGACGCTGGCTAGATGGCAAGCTGAGCAGTGGTGATGGAGACACCACAAAGTGAGAAGACAGAGTTTGGGGAGGGGGGGTGGTGGCAGGTAATCCAGGTGTGTCAGCCGTCTACCCGCCTGCATATTTGCGGTGAAGAGGAAGGAGGGAGGGGGGCCTTGTCTGGGGCAGACGGAGCAGTGGAGCCAAGGTGTGTCTCCGAGAGCAGTAGACTGGGAGGGAAGCTTGTGCACACGTACTCTCTCAGCTGTGTGCAAACATACGTGCAGGTGAAGCTTTGAATCAAGCCAGATACCAGCAGCTACTCAATTAATACCTGATTCATCCTTAATAATCACTTTTTTCTGCTGAAATGGTATCTGTTGAGCATGTACCAACAGTGAAACCAGACGCAGGAAGACTTGGACAAAAGTTTTTGTCCAGACCGACCGGATTAACAAGTGAGGGCAAAGTTTGTGTAACATGGCACGTGGTTTCAAGCTTTCATCATCGAATGGCATTAATGAAAAAAGTGTTTATTGTGCAAGGAGAAAAACCTCTACTTAAGGTCGTGCTATGACTGATGGGCTGTTGGTTCACAAAACACGGGAAAAGGCTCCATTTTCAATGTTTTGCCCTGTTACTGTATCCTGGTGACTTACCCAGTGATCCTGACAGAGTGTGTGCCATGTTTGCGGTATTGTGGCGGTTTGGTGAAGCTGACGTCAGTGTGTTTGTAGATCCCATTCTTGTAGACAAAGAAGTCCTCCTGGACCTCCATAATAGCTGCAAGAACAAACAAGCAGGGGGAATTAGTAGCCGGACATAACACACACACACACACACGCACACACACACACTCTATGACTATTTTTTATAAAGGCTGCTGAATCAATTATGAGAGAGATAAAAATCTTATTCAAGCATTGATTAATCTAAAAGTAATTACCTAATTTCACCAAACAAATTCAAATTGCCCCCATGAGTCACACCCACCCAGACATCAGACAGGGCAGTGTGCGTGTGTGTGAGCGTGCTAGTGTGAGTTCAAATCTGAACCTTCATATTCCAGCTCAATAACTCTCCGGATGTACAGTTCAGAACAGTGTGTGGACCTCCTTTCATCAACACACACACACACACACACACACACACACACACACACACACACACACACACACACACACACACACACTTCTTTGCCTTTGTGTTGGAGAGAAACTCAAAAAACTTCAAGAGGTTTTCCTGGACTGCTAAACAATAACAGGCTGGCACAGGCTCAGAAGCACACACACAGACGCACACCTACACGTGACTCCTCTATTCAAGTGAACTTGACAATGGTCCAGATGGGCAACAGACAGTGAGGCGGGCTTGTAAAGGAAGGGCAATTCAACCACACTGACATGTAGGCCCATCATTTTTGACCAGGTGACCAGGGTCACAGTTGAAACCCGGGGCAAAACCATCAGGATGACAAGGTCAAACATGACATCATCTGAGGTCGGACACCCAACACGAGGCTTCAAGGTGTGTGTGTGTGTGTGTGTGTTCAGATTTACTTGTCCCTTGGGGAGTGTGGTTTAAAAAAAGTAACACTCACTTGGGAGCAAATGTTGACCCTAAAATATTATTTACAAATTGAATTTTACCTTGCACAGGGCCATTATCCATAATCTCCTTCATGATCTCCTTTTCCTGAGAGAGGCGATAGAAGGAACAATCAGAGGAGAGTGAGACAGACAGAAAGATCATTACATGTCAGTGAAATGGAGAGGATGAAAACAACCACCCTGGATGTTAAAAGTCAGATAACAAGATTGAGTCCAGCAGGGCCCCCTGGCCTTAATGCCTGGCTTATTGACTTCACAGGCCATCGAGAGACGGGAACAACAGGCTGTAATGATTCTGAGAGGCACTAGCCGTCATTTAGCATTGATGGATGCTCGCTGATAAAACCGCATGTCGGCTGCAACTCAGTGGTTGGCTTTGAATTGGAAGAGATACACAGAGCTGCATGCAGAGACTGCTTCTGGAAAAAGTTTAGGTGAACGTTACATGATACTTTGTGCTAATAAGGAAGGGGAGAGGTGCTTTCTACATGAAGAGGACTAGAAGAAAGTATTACATTTAGATCATCAAGCTTTTAAATTGTGATATAAACTTTACACTTTGTGCTGATTCTTTAAGAACTTTTGGCCACTCTGTTCTCATATCGACTGACTCAACTCACTGTTGTGGCTAAGTGTGAATATATGACCTGTAGAACGAGTTGAGTAATTTGATATTGGTAGGTAAACACAGAAATCTAACTCCAGGTACACTTTTGAGTCTGGGTAGTAGATAATGATTATGGATGATGATATCCAAAGTGCAGTCTGTAAATGGTTTAATTCAATCACCGGCATGCATATCCAATATGGAATCTAAAAAACAAGATTAGGTTTCTTTTTAATTCTGTGTTATATTTCAGTCAAATTTCTCAATCCTGAATCCAACTGCCTGGACTATAAAAGCTGGCAAACATGCAGGTAAAAATATAACTTCTTGCCCTTCACTGATTCAGTGAGGAGGGCTGTCGAGCATTTAATCCTGTACTTAATCCATGTTCATTTACAATGAAATCAAGTATGCATGAGGAAAGTGTGCAAAAACACATACTGTAATAAACATGTGAGAGAGATTACAGTCTACTGAGGCACGAGGAAGTCCTAAAAATGTACACCAAGCTTATGAAAGCTGTTTACTGGAGTTTAAAGAATATGTTGTGCTGGTTGGCTGTTGTCCTCATGGAGGATAGGTGTCTAGGCTTTTTTCTTTTTGCATCATGTATCTCTGTTTGTGCGTGTATTGTTCTGTGCTCACATTGGATGAGAGCCTGTAGGGGGGTGTGGACTGGTAGATGTTGTTCTGGTAGTTGTGCGTGTTGGGGCAGCGCTGCGTGGCCTGCCTCTTTCCCCGGCCAACTGAGCGACTCTGCATCATACAGCGGCCCACCTCTGCTGGTGTTTGCTGTGGGGGTCGGTATGGATAACAGTCTTCTGTCACCACTCTGTAAGAGGAAGAGGAGGGGCAGAAAGATGTTGTCATTAAGTAATCACCAACACTTGCATTGTATTAAATGCTGTAATTCTTTTTAGCTTCTAGTTCATATAAAATAAGGTCTCCACCCTCTACGCCGGAGGTACCACCAGGCTCCGTCGATGCGTCCCCCGGCACAGCCGCCCTGGTTGCGTGTGTCACAGGAAATAAGATTTTGGGGGGACAGCTGAGGAGTCATGTGACCCATTGACTGGATGGAAATTCTGTCTGATGCCACAGCTGGTAAAGAGGATAGGCAACATTATAAAATATGTTATTTGATTGCCTACAATTAGTCACATTTAAATTGTTTCTATTTTGTGGTGCTGGATAACAAACATCTGCACATAAAGATTACATATCAACAACAAACCTGAGGAAGACTTTTTGTGGTCAACACATTGTCACATCCATTTAAAATAAAAGTATTGGGAACAACGCAGTGTTTGAATCACTCAACCTGCCAACACCTTGTCAAAAGCTGCTTCACTTGCAACGTTTTTATTCTTATGTTTTCTGTCCTTTATGTGTTATAATGGTATCCCATATATTTCCCAACATTTTCTCCAATTGTTCTTTTGCTGCTCTACCTGCAGTTGAGAAAGCCCAGGATGCAGCACAGTTGCCCTGGTCCAGTGGTTCATGGATCTTTCCTGGCCACTTCTCTGCTGAGTTGAAGTACACAGGCAGACGGTCATTCTGCGGATCCATGTTCATCTGAGAGACAGAAAAAGATAAAGAGACAGTTATTAGAGGCCTGCGATTGCTTTTAATCGCTGTTAAACTCTCACAGAGCAGCCCCTGTTGAAAAAAACCTTAACATTTCTCAGTACAAACAATTATTATCATAAGTGGCAAAGTGAAATCTTGTTGTGTCAGACATACAGAGCAATTGTTTGCCCACAACAGAACACAAACTACTGCTGCAATTAAAATATTTGTGGATGGCTTTGTATGACAGGTTTGGACCACAGGCAGGTTACATAAGTCTGCTAATCAGCCCTCCAGCAGAAGGGACTTATTCACAGGCGATTAGGACCATTTGGCCCAGTGTCAATCTCTGACACTGGAAAATAGATAGAAACCTTTGATCCCTGTCCTCTCTACCATAAGGCAGCTTGGTTACATCCGTATAAAATCCAGTGCGTCATTTGAACCAACTGAACTCTCATGGCATCCATCTCCATTTAAAATATCAACCGCAGGGCAATGATAAATCTAAATTAGGATGATAAGGCTGTGACAAAGTGCATACATTTCCCTGATAGCGCATATTTACTTGCAGGTGCTTCTCAGAAGCCAAACATACTCCATCTGTTGGTCTCCACTCCAGGTTGGATGCTTTCCTAATCTCCCAGTTATGTGTGATAACAGAGAACACACTTCTGTACAACTGACTTTACCTCTCTCTCAGCCTGGCTGCCTGCACTGCATTCCTCTGATTAACAGTAAGGTATTCAGAGAGCAAACGGCCACCTGATGCATCACTAAAGAATGTGCTGCCGGTCAGAGAGTTGTAGTTGTGGAAAGTCAAAGTCTAAAAGAGGAGAAAAAAATAGCTGCAAGAATAAGGTGTTGTGTAATAAATTCATTCATGAATTCACAATTTTCCGTCCCTTACACAGGAGTCTACAGCCAGAGAAGGAAAGACGGAGAGAGAGATTTATGAATGGGCTGCAAGGCTCTGATCTGGTTCCTGGCACAGGTAGGGACACGCTGGCGGCCGAGGAAGAAGGGGGAGTTGTACGATTTTTGGAGGGGTTGGAAGAAGTCGTGGAATGCTGGGTAGCAGTAGGGGAGTGAGGATGGATGGATGAGGGATGGCTGGAGGTGGGGAGGTGTAGACTGGAGCACCAAGCAGCCACCATCCCCTCCATCTTCTCTGTCTGATGTTTTGGTTCCGTCTTATGTAATCTGTCTGGGTAAAATGTAAACAATGACTGAGCGGATCAGAGTGGGCTGAGGTTCCAGACAGCGACGCCATTGCATACCAACAAGCAACCATAATTACCGTTAGTGGAAAACGTTTTGATCAGAGCTCCCTTGTTGGAATAGGTTTTCAACCTGCAGGAGCTTTTAAAGTGAAAAACCTCAACAAAACATGTAACTATTCACTTTTTCTCTGCATTCTCACCTGCCGCTGAAACTTCCTGCTCTTTCTCCACCAACCCACACCGCTGCTCTACATGTGTCATACACTAGTTTGAATATATGATTCAAACTAGTTTTGGACTGGTATACAGCACATATTTCAATAGGTTTTAAATCTGTATTGTTTCAACGTCACACAGTGCCTAAAAGACATGGTTGACAAATAAAAGACACCATTACAAACTGAATATAAAAGGTTTTTTGAAGTAATATTTTGACTTGCATTTGGAATCCTAACTAACTAGATGACCTGGCTGTATGTACAATATTTTTGCTTCTGGCAAAAGCCACCAAAAGGAAGAAAAGTATTACGAAATTTCGTTTGAGGGAATTCAAATTAAAAACTTTTCTGTTACTTCTTCAGCTTCACTGAGCCATTGTTGGGTCAAACTTTGCAAATTTATTTGTGCACGAGAGTACTTTTCAAAAATCTAATCTTTATGAAAACAATCTCAGCTTGAATGTTTGTATGAAATCTGGAATCTGGAGGACTTAACATAACAGTGAAGCTGTAAAAAAAAAATAAGAAAACATGACAGCTTCAATGGGAACAACAAATACATATGTGATGTATTTGACACTGCGTGATTGAAAGTAAGTTAAATATTTTTATAGTTTAGGAGGTTACACTCACTAGAAACAAGTAACATTATATACCTCCAGTCCTTGTATGGAAATGTGTTCTTTCTCTTCAAAGCAAGGTCAGAGGTCAAAGGTCAGTGACAAAACAGTAGCACTGAGGATGGCAAGGATTTCATGACTAACCTTAAGGGCACTTGAGCAAAGAGTATCAACTGCCTGTGCCTTCAGGAACTTGACCACACACATATTTCTCTTTCTTTTTGGTCAGTAGGGTCCTATTGACCTTAAAAATAATTTTGAAGAATGAAGACAGTCCTGTACCTGTATCTCATTCATGTTCATAATAGTCCTGGTGGGTCTCTGTGTGCCCAGGCGGTACCGGATGCCCTCGTCGAGAGTCATGCCGTAGAACTGACTGTAGTTAGCTGCCTTCCACCTGAAAATTACAGACAAGATGTTAAACACCAAGATTTTTTATTATAAAGTATCATCAAGTGTGTGTGTATGTGTGTATGTGTGCCATTGTTTATTTTTTACCCATAGTTTCCTCTGTTGACTGCATGGATAACGTCAGGCTCCATCAGACAGGCATTGTCTTCACACTCCCAACGTCCTGTGGTCCCACATGTACTACAGAGTAGAGACAAAGTGATGAGATCATTAAAAGGCATTAGCAGCTGTAATTGCATAGTTTCAGTCTCCATATTTTATACTAAAGCCAGTCGAGTCACCAGCTTTAATATAAAATGCGATTTCAGAGAAAGAGAAATATGCAGAGTCTCAGTGGAATTCCCAAATAAGAAATTAATCGAGAGAAGTACGTCAGCAACTGGAAAAGACTGGAAAAAGAACGAATGAGGGGGTGAGAAATAGAGGGAGAGGTTAAATGAGACATACAGCCTTTTAAGGCTGTAGAACGCAGATCCTATTTTAGTCAGAAGGAAGCAGAGAGAACGAAGAAGTCAAGAAGATGACATAAGTGATAAGAGAACAGGAAATTAATGATGACATTGTTTACTTTGAGGATGCTCAAAAATAACTTGCACACTGTGTGTGTGTGTGTGTGTGTGTGTGTGTGTGTGTGTGTGTGTGTGTGTGTGTGTGTGTGTGTGTGTGTGTGTGTGTGTGTGTGTGTGTGTTTGTGTATGTGTGTGTGTAGCCAGACCAGTGGTGGAAAAGTGCCAAGATCCTTGAAAATACCAATACAATAATTAAAAGTACATTAAAACTAAGAGTCCTGCAGTTCTTTGCAAGTAAAGGCAAAAGTTTTATCAGCAAAACATAATTTAAAAGTCGTATTCTCTTTTTTTATTATTTCAAAATGTTAATTATGCTATTAGGTACTGTAATAAATATCATAATTTCAAAGATAATTCGTTTCAGATTAACATTTTAACCAGTGAGTGTAGTTTAAATTACATGTTGATATTTCCCTGAAATGTAGAAGTAGAAAGTAGAAATGCTTTAGTAAAGTACAATTACTTCAAAATTGTACTTGAAAAAACACACAGCTTACTCACACAGATGAGTCATTGTCATTGGTAAGAAGTTCACCTTCCACTGATACCTCGAAGTAAATGATTGAAAAAACTGCAGCAACTTCAGTTTCACCAGAGTCCCTTAAACTTGTCGATTAATAGTTTGAAACGATAACCATCTACACGGCATGTGTCCTGAAAGCAGCTGTCTGAACAAGGCAAAACATCCAAACTTTATATTATTCTACTAGCTATAAAATAAATAGAGAATTTACAGTGATTTACACATTTTTGTGTCTTCATTTATTCTGGAGACATTCTGTAATGTTGCTCCACAGTTTCTTATAAGAATAGTTTGACATTTTGGGAAGTTTGTATTCTTTGCTTCTCTTAGTTGAAAAGATTGATACAACTCTCGTGTCTGTCCAGTTAATATAAAGCTACAGCCAGTAACCAGTTAGCTTAGCTTGGCATAAAGACTGGGAACAGGGGGAAACCGCTAGCATGGCTTTGTCCAGCACCTCTAAAGCTCACTAACACATTACATGTTGTTTGTTTAATCACTGGAAAAACTTGAAAACCAACAAGTTGAGGTGTTAAAGGATTTTTTTAAATCTTGGCTGGACTAGATAAAGCATTCTGTAGGTATTAAGTACCTTTTGAGTAAATAGCAAACAGGTGACAAGCTAGATTATTTAATTCCCCTTCAAAGGTTTTAAAGCTCTAATGATGTTTTTTTGGTTTCTTGGTTGTTTTACTGTAAATGTTTTTGTTCTGCAATCCTTCTCACTAAGACTACCTGGTTAAATAAAGTTTCTAAGTCACTATAAATGATTGTGTATAACAGCTGCAAGGTCAGTGGTCGTTTTGGGAATATCATAATAAATGAGTGTGTTAGCGAGAGAGAAAGAATGAGGGGTGTTTCCCACAGAGGCGTGTGTAGACTTCCAACCATAAAGTCTACTGTACATTATACATCATGTTTACAGAGAGGGGAACCTGCCTATTAAACACACACACACACAATGATGGAGAGGCCAAATTCCCCTTTTATCACACTGAAGCTTATAGAGTGTGTATCACTTCTCAAAGTGCACTCCTCCCTGCTGGGTCTCTGAGACACAAATACAATGTTCAAGCGCACACCCACACACACAAATACACACATTGGCAGAGCAGTGAGTGTCTGCTCAGCCTCCCACAGACAACTGTCTGATGGCTTTGATTGGAGGAAAGAGACAATGACCTTTCACCTTTGCCTCCCTTCAGCAGGAACACGTGCAGCTCAGTGCAAGGGAGTCAAAAACAACAATAAATCCACGTAGTAACAGTACTGGACGCTCACACACACACACACACACACACACACACACACACACACACACACACACACACAAAGTGACAGGAGAAATGACAGACCCATGGGGAGGCAGAGTGTGACTGAAAATGAAATACGAGGACTGTGAGGACAGAGGGAGGCCATATTTCACATTCTTCGTCACCCTCCTTATTAGAGAAAGACACTCTCTTCACCTCTGAGACCATAAACATACACACACACTTGCATACATTTGTACAAATGCACACACCTGGGTGACATGATCCTGCCATATCAGTGGGAACAGAGCCTTGTTTGTTTGTGTTCAGATATCACACACCTACACCATCTGAGATGCTCTACAGCGTTTCAAAAAAATCCAAGGTGGCATTGGCTGTTGTCCAATCTGAAGTGCCAGCAGGCAGCGCAGAGCTGCTGCCAAATCAAAGCGGAGATAGTCGCTCCTTTGGGCTACGTGAGATTGCTGGTGCGAACAGTAGGCGCCACGTTTCAGATCATTTGGAGCAGATAAGGAGTAATCAGGACACCAACAGCTCAGGGGGGAAAAGGCCTCGACTGGAGATCCCATTAACACAACAAAAGCCTGCCACGCATACAGTATCAGGGTCCATCTTCGCACACACAAACACACAACAGTAAACGTAAACATTGCTACAATATTTCATGTCCTGTGTTTCTATGCTGTCACTACTGATACAATCTACCCGAATCTATTTCAAACTGTAGGAAAAGATCAAGTTAATGTTGATTGTGATTCTGGTGTCAAAGAGATTATTTTTATCGATTATTTTGGTGATATCTGGCTGTTTGACTTCCTATTTTGCTCATGTCAGGGGTGAGTCAAAGCATGTAGGAGGTTAGATAAGAGTGTGCAGGAGTTCAACCACTACTAATGAGAGACATGAGGTAAGAAGAGGGATTCCGTCCACTCAAAGCGGAAGCTCTGATTGTGAGAGATGGGAGGACGCACATTTGGGAAATTAATAAGTGGAGAGAGTGGGAGTAGGAAATGGGAGTGTGAGTGTCCCTCCGCGCCAAAGTTGTGGTGCAATTTTTCAAACGTCCATGTGTATTGCCTTAACATGCACGTGTGAGAGTGTATGTGCAAAAGACTCTTTTGTTTGTCAGTGAAAGGGGGAGTTAGCACATAAACGCTGCTTTCTGGTGACCTGGAACATTGGAGGCTATTTTTATCACATAGCTCGTGTTTGCTCAATCTCCTCAAGAAGAAACACCAGCCCCGCCATTTATCAACTTCCACACTCACCTATCTACGCACCCATCAGACCCTTTATGTCAAAGCTAATTGAGCTGCCTTGATAAAAGTCATACTTCAAGCCTATCACGCTGACAAAACACAGCTACTGGAGTCAAACAGCTGCTAGGCTTATAGCAGAGCATGTGGAGATCAGTGGGGTCAGCATGGTTTGGGTTAGACGTGTTCATGACAAACAGCCACAGTGTGTTCTTGTTGCATGAAAATAAATATAATACAGATGTACAAATGGATGTTAAATCAACATTTGTGTGCATGTTCACACACCTACACATGCTTACAGGGTCTTTGAGGAACATCAAATGACACCGGTGTGAGAAACCACAGTGAAGGATAGGTGAGGAATTCCTTCTTCTTGTCTTCCTCACTGGACTCCTCCGTCTCTTTCCTCTCTAGTCTCTCGAGGACTGATTTACCTCTCCTTGACTGTTGTCAATAACATGCAGAAAAATGAAAACAAGACACAAGTCCTTGGCAACAAGACACATGTCCCCGGCCATGGAGATAAAAGTCACTGTGAGCTAATCTAAAATACTGTTTGTAGAAACTTAACATCAGGGTCATAAGTGAAGAGCTGTTTGTGAATTTGTCCGCCAGTACCCCTGAACTGGATAAAATAATGCAACTTTGTCAAAGCGATCTCACTCAAAGAGTCATAACAAGAATACACAAGATATGTATTCCAGCCTCAATCGTGTGTTAGAGCAGAGCAGATTTTTATGTACATCAAAGTAGGAAATCAGTTCGGTTTGTGATTAAATTTGCCATGTTAATTTGTAAAAGATATGAAAGACACTTAGAGATGTTGGCACACACAACATTGCTACACAAAGGGAAAAATGGGGTCTGTTTTGATTTATTCTCACTTTTGCAGCTACTCTTCTTCCTGTTACAGACTACCAAACTTCATAACAGATCAAACTTGACATTAGCCATTCAATACATGGTCTATATAAATGAACTGACTTGACTTTCCTTGACTTAAAGGACCAATGTGTAGGATTCAATGGCATCTAGAAGTTGCAGTTAGAACTTAGCTTCCAAGCGTGTGGGAAAAACTACGGTGACCACAAAACTCGGCCCTGTATCAAGAGCCACTGTTTGGTTGGTCTGCTCTGGGATACTGTAGAAACATGTCAGTTCAGCATGGCAGCAACTGTAGAAGAGAACTCACTCCCTCTGTAGATAAAAACGGCTCATTCTTAGGTACCGAAAAAACACAACAATTCTTATATTTAGGTGATTCATCGGTGTTCATTAATGTATACGAAAACATACCAACAAATATTATATTGCATTTCTTTCCAATAGATCATAGATCCTCCTAAATGTTAAACACTGGACCTTTAGGTTTAAAAACAAAACTAAGAGTCTACCAAAATAACTTATGAGAAAAAGAACTGTTATGGGTTAAGAGTTATGACGGAAAGTAGAGGAAGTGGAGCTTGACAGTGTCTGTGTGTGTGTGTGTGTGTGTGTGTGTGTGTGTGTGTGTGTGTGTGTAAAGATCATGTGATCAAAGTAAGATTTACGCACAAAACTGAACATTACTCCATAAAGACACCAGTGGGCTTATTATTAGAAACACATGCTTTGCTCACACATATTTCATAAACCAACACAACTTAATTTTACATTCCGGTACAGATCCCAGAGGTTTTAAGAATGCCAAGTATATTGCATGAGCGAAGATTTTGAAGAAACATGATGCACAAGACATTTAATTTTAATTGTTTTGTAATGGCGCATCCATAAAAACATGGCGTCTTGGGCTTGAATGTTTCACTCAGTAAAAGCATCTAAGGGTTTGTGTGGAGTGTGAGAAATAGGGAAGTGAGGAGGGGGTTGTTTTTCAAACTTTAAGCTACTTAAGGAGTAATTTAAGGTAAACTACAGGATTTAAGAGGTTAAAAGAGAAATAGAGGAAGAAGGAGAGGTTTACATACCATAAATTGCAGTTCTCTTTGTATGTTTGCCCCGAAAAGAACTTGTTTCCATTTCTTTCGCAGGTGCCTGAGAGGAGACAAAGAGGAGCAACTTAATATATCTGGGTTTGATGTGGCTAAACAACAATGATCCTACCACTAATCCAAAATAAAGCCATGCACAGCCTCAAATACAGAGACAGAGATGCAAAAGTACATATACAGCGCTCACACTTAATATAATGCAATTACACTGCCTAAATTCCTTCACTTGCAACCACAATAAAAAAAGTGTTAACAGTAACTCCCTGATGTGTTCAGTGTGTGTGTGTGTGGGTCTGTGTGTGAGTGTATACACAGAATATGTGAGGTCTAAGGAGCTCTGAGCTCCAGTAATCCAGTGTAGGAATGTGGCGTTAGCTTCTTTCCTGCCTTCCCAGGCTTCCTGGGCCCTCGTCATGCTTTAACCAGCTTACGCTCCTGAGACTGAGGGAAGGGGGCTGCAAAAGTAGCCCGTCCATTACCTCCACAATTAAGCACCAAAAAATGTATTAACATTTGTGAGCTGCAGTTGTGCGATAAAGTCCACTCAGCATTGTGACAAACCACAAAAATGATTCAGCAGTGACACAGCGTTAGAATTCCTCTTGAATGAATTTGACCCATTACACTTGAAGTTTGAACCCTGCTCACTCACAGATTGTGAAAACTATATTGACTTGGTGACAGATTCACAATGAGGTTTATCTACAAGCTGATTTACAGTGATAGGTGTTCAGGTGTGAATTTTATATGACAATGTACAGCGTGAGTAGGTTTTCCTGTGAGGCCCAGAGCTTATTGTGTGATTTATGACTGAGGCCCTCTGATACCCACCTTCCACCCCTCAGCTGTCTCACACAGTCTATCACAACTCTGAACTCTGCAGAGCTGCAGTGTGACAAGTTACACATTGACAGAAATTATTTTATAGAGGGGAATTCCATTGAACTCAAAGTCTGTGATTTCATGCAATAGGTTTACATTTTTACATAGCATAGCTTTGAATTCTGTGAGCGAATATTAGAAAATTACACACTGACTTTGACGATATAATGAGAAAAGTCCAGCTGAACAAAGTCTTAAATATTGAGTAACGGACTACAAAAATCTGTGACTGCAGGGCAGCGATAATAAAAATGACCTATTGTACAAGTTTGTCACCTCCTTCCTTTTGAAGCGCCATAGCTTTCCTGCAGGCTGTGTGACCATGTGGTCGAACATGTTTGTGTGTGTGTGTGTGTGTGTGTGTGTGTGTGTGTGTGTGTGTGTGTGTGTGTGTGGCTCACACTTAAACATGCATTAGTGTGTGCGTCCCACCTCGTGATCCCCTTACCTTATCGTCCAGGGAGCACATACCTGCACCAACTCCTCCTGCCTCCCGTCCTGCACCCGTTGTCTGTCCCTCCCTCCCTCCCTCCACATAGCCCACATTCTTTCTCCTGACCTCCATTCATCCCTCCATCCACCCCTCCACCCTCCCTCTGTCTGGGTTAATAAGAAGCCTACTGTTCCCTGTAATGTTCTGTTCTCAGGTGGGCCTCTGCTGTCGTTTGCACATTTTACACCTCTTTTTCGAGAGAATGGTACTATAACTGTGTGGGGAGTCTAAACATAGTAGATTGAACTATTAGATAGTTGGGAGAAATGAGCTGAATCTTAATGTATCTGATTTGGGACTGAACAAATATGATCAGTGGAGGAAAAGGTTATCAGCATTATTATTTTATGATTGTTTTATGGTAGAGCAGGGGAGTTTTTTGTTCTTATATTATATTTTTAGAATGAATAAATATAATTTAAAAAACAGATCAAACATTCATGTCTGCCCTGGGTCATAAAGTTGTGTTTGGCCACATCCAAAGGAAAACAATCCTGTCTCAGTATCAGAGCTTTATTTATCCTTATCTGAATCAAACAACTCAATCTGTCTGGGCCTGAGAGTGGCTGTATTTTCAGCTCCACGACCCACCAATCATTTTCATTCTGACTATTATTTTAAGTATGTTCCTTTCTGGTGAGTTTAATTAAGAGAGAACAGGTACGTAATTGTAATTCAGTTTCATGTGTCGTGCTGCTTTGCACTGTGATCTAGCACACAGTGTGTCAGTGGGGTTCTGGGCAGCTCTCTGTATGAGATTAACTAATAACGACAGGGCCACACTGATACACACACAAAAACAATTACAAATTTGCTTGTGTTGCCTCACTTACCAATGAAAGGTGGCGCCACGCCTAGACAGTGACCCCAGAAGTCAGGGCAGCAGTCGGAGATTGTGCGGTTGCAGAACAAGTCGCAGTAGCAGATGGTGTCCAGGTAGGGAACTGTGCACAGGTCGTCTCTGCCAGGGCAGCAGCCTCCTCTCCTCTGGCAGTAGGAGCCAAATGGGTCCCTGATGCCGCCAACATGGAGGGGACTGGCAAGCTCTCGCTTGGTCCTTCTGGACAGGATTCTCTCTGCAGTGCTTCCTCCCACCACCAGGAGCAACACAGTCAACAAGAAGAGCTTCATGATAAATCTGTGTATAGGAAGGGGACAGAGCATAATGCTTATTCTTGTAATGGATATATGATGAAGTAGAAGTTGGCTTGCTTTTCCCAAGAAGAGACACACTCCAAATGCTTCACACTTGACAGGAAGAGGGGTGAAGAGGTTGCACTGTGAGCAGCATAATTGGGGTATGACTGCTGCCAACACATTGTCCCACCTCCTGCTGTGTAATTCACATACACACTGATGCATATACACTCAGTAGCACACACACACACACACAAAAGATACATTTAAACAGAGCTGGTAGCAAGTGGTCTAAATAGAAACCCACATGATCCTCAGAGATCATCCGCTTATTTTTCCGACTTTCCTTTCAAGCAGCCAAGACAAACAGCAGCTAAATTTGAAAATGCCCTCAGTAGGAAAGTGATGGAAAACAAATATACAATGTTAGAAACACACAGGTCTTGAAATGTCTTGATGATGTATGACGGGGTCACTTCAGGTCTCAGGGTGAGAGGTTCTTTAGCTACCTTTTTTATACCCTCAGCCCTGACCCTGCTGAATATGTATGTAGTTCCCACATTTTCCCTTCGTAAGTGCTGGTATAGTCCCTGTACCCCACTGTTACTTATTAATGCTCCACTGTTTGCATTGCAGTGGCATATACATCCAGCGACACAATAATCACCCTGTATTAATATTTTACTTTATAGAAGGACCAGCCGGTGCATGAGGGATGGAACAGTATCATCCGCGATTAGCATGCTATCTCGGTCATGGAAAAAAGTAATGTCCTACTATCAAAGCTAATCTGTCATACTTGAGGAAATAGTCTAAGTGAACAGACACAGCCCACATCAAGTATTAATGGAGCTCAGAGACAATGAAGTTTATCTAAATGGGCGTGGTAACAGAGCAGGCAGAGGGAAACCATAAACGTACAGTAAATGTCTTATTGACACAGTCATTGAAACTAATGACATCATACACACACACACACACACACACACACACACACACACACACACACACACACACACACACACACACACACACACACAAAGTGACAGGAGAAATGATTGTGTGGATGCGTATGTGTGAGTACTGGTCACAGGTTACTGGATGGGCGCCTCTATGTGGGGCCGGACAAAGACGAGGGGTTGGCCCGCTGCTTACATAAATGGCATAATTAATTAACCAATCAGATCTCAGAACACAATGGACACTGCACATAAAGCGGGGCTCCGGAAAAGATCTTTGCTGTGTTGTTTTCTGCATGACTGTTCCTTTAGTTGAAGCACACACACACAAGCATATGGCAGCATGGGATGGGCAGGTCTCCTCCTTAACACAAGTGTTTTGTTGTGGCAGACGCTGAGCAGCAGTGCAATAAAACACCCACCAGTCTGCTCAGCGAGCTGCTGAAGCCTGCAGGTCAAACTGACACTGTGAAACAGTGCCTTCATCAATAACCTTCCTAGACATGGCAACATTAGCCAAAAAGATCTCCAGGTAGCTTCAATATAGTTAAATATTTGATTGTGTTTAGAACAGTTCTCAGGTTAAGCGAGATAATATTTATAATTTTAGCCACAAGCCAAACATATCAACTGGCTCCAGCCCCCCAAGACCCTAAAAATTATAAGTGATTATAGATAATATATGGATGGCAGACCAGTATGAGATGCCAATCAATAGTTAGTAGAGCTTTCAATACTTAATACAATGATGTCTCAGCTCCTTTCAGTCTTTAGGGTTTTACAGAGTGTCACAGAAGCTGCCATATGGCCCATCAGCGCTCCAGACAGCTGTAGCCAAGCTACTGTTCCCACACTGCAGACACAAGGCAGATGAACCCAACTCTCTCTCTCACACACACACACACACACACACACACACACACACACACACACACACACACACACACAAACACACACACACACACAGAGAGAGAGATATACATAATGTTCATACACACATCACACAGTAAAATTAGAAAAGCTGCAGTGTCACTGTCTCAGCTGAACCCTCATCACAGCTTCAGGACCAACCTGAACCAACAGAAACCTGCATGATCTCAGTAAACTGAGAACGGCTGTTTGTAAAGGTCAGTTTAACCCAGATTACAAAAGACACACTTCCTCTCTTAAGTCTGGTGGCGTCTAGTCATGCAGTTAGTTTTGTTTTTATTTGCCCTGTTTTTGATTTAATTTAACAGCAGCAATGTCCAGGCAGTCTTATTAATGCACAGACCTCAATGAGAACACTTTAAAACTACTTTCTACTTAAGAAACTGTCAATACAAACTTTTAACTTTTTATTTTTTTTAATTTTAATTATAATTTTTCAATGCTTCGGCCAACATTAGAAATCTACATGGCTTCTAGAGGTTAGTGAGAAATGTTATTTTGAAACTTGGGGGAACCAAACCTTTCACTGTTCCCTTCTAACACATGTCCTATGACCCCTCTCTTTCACTTTCCTTCACACAGCTGAACTTTGAGATATTACTGCACCACCCACCAGATTATTCAGGCATCTTGCCTAAGTGTATCTGTATAAAAGCCCTTTCAGCTCAATTTCCCTCTGTGTCACACAGTCCTTGACGAAACACCCACCAGGTCAAGGTAGTGGAGAACAGAGAACATTTATAATATTGTACAGGTGTCTTATAAAGCCTGGACAACAACAGGTGAGTGATGGGATGACTATTATCACTCTTGATGTGAATTACACAAGAGGAGCAGCCACAGATTCTCTGGACTCGGTGACCTCTTGGAAGAAAGCTCAGCAGTCTTACTCATATTCTTGAACCTCTGAATAACATCTTGAAGTATGAAACCTACAATCCCACACCCAGAAGGTAAATATGTTGTAACAGTAATTCTTTTATTAACTTTAGTTCTGTGCCCATGGCTAAATGAAGAAGCAAAAGTGCAGAGGAATTAGTTCTAATCTAATATATAATAATAATAATAATAATAATAATAATAATAATAATAATTATGATTAGCAAACATATAAATCAAAAGAGCTTAGGAGTTTTCATAAATCAGGGAGTTATTCTGGGTAACATGAGCTCAGTATAAACCAGGCTGTGACATTCAGCCTGCACCTGCCCGGCATAAAAGAGGGCTGCTGTTGGAAAGTGAAGAAAGCAGAAAAAAACTGTTGTTACCTTGAGTTAGAGAGAGAAATCCTGGTTTTGTAATCCGATAGAAAACCGCAGAGCTTTGCTGATGTGTTGCACAGGAAGTCATTCACAGGTAGAGGAGGTTTGGGTAAAAGGTCAGTCTCCTCTGTCCGCTGTTCTTCACTCTCTCAAAGGATCTGGTCTGTCAGACTCTGTCTTCTCTATATACAGGCAGTCTGCAAGGGCTAACCACTCCCCCACCTCCCCTCCGGAGCCCCCCTTCACTCTCTGCCCTGTCCCTTGCTTCACTGCCTCCTGCTCAAATCTGTGCTCTCTCGCTCTCTCTCTCTCTCTCTCTCTCTCTCTCTCTCTCTCTCTCTCTTTCTCTCTCTTGCATACACACACACTTCTTTCCCTGTGACAGGTTTGCAATCTCTTCATGCCTTTCCTTTCCTTATGAGAATACAACCACCGATATGAAAGTGAAATGGGTTTTTGCACTCAGACACGTCTATACTCACTCTGCTGCTTCTTCTTTTATTTTCTTTCCACTGTAGTTTTCAGTGACAGCGGTTTCCCCTACACTATCTGTGGCTGCAGGGTCAAATCTGCTTGTCTCTCTGTGGTAGACACTGTGGTGAGTACTGCTGACCTCCAGGCCACCATCTAGTGGTCATAGGTTGCATATCTTCACCTCATACAGCCAGAAAATTATGGGATAGCCCGTGGAAGACCTCCCAGCTTCTAGAAAAGTACAAACTAGCCTCCAGAGGGGAGGTTTTGGCAGGTGCTTTAGGGAGGCCAAATACTCTGAATGTACAAAATATTACGGATGTTTTCTCTCTGCGCGCTCCACGTGTCAGTTGTTTTGAATCTGTTTACATAATTTGCCTGGATTTTGTAACATCTTCCAGATCAGGAAATCCAAATGGGATGAGGGTTTTTTTTTAACTGCAGGTCACTGAACTCTTTCTTCTTTTTCACTGAGCTATTTGTCATTCACAATTAGGCGTGTATGTATGATTCAGTCTGCTGCTGACACAGTGCACAAAATATCAGCAATTTCCACTGTTATTGCTTAAGTCTGCATGTTTTGTTTCTGCTTTCTTTGCATTTTTCTGGATAAGACTGCTAAATAGGTATTCAGGAGGCTGACATGGTGGTCCCGAAAGACACAGCTGTGCCACCCCCCCCTTTGGTTTGATCAGTGAGCTAAAGGCTGAATCAGTGGGGGGTTGGCTGGGCAGGGCAGGGCTCCCCAAAAGTCATTTCTGGACAAAAGAGGACAAACAATAAACAATGATACATAAATGTCAGTATTTTGACTTTGCTCAACATAACTAGCACTTGTAAAACATTTACAGACAAGTAATGAGGTCTGCTATGCCCATGTTGATTGATGATTGATCAGTATCAGTCAGTGCTCAAGTGACCCAGTGGTTTTCAGATCAGAAAAGGAAAAAAAATCTGAAATGAGTAAGGGAAATATATTAATGTCAATCATACAGTTTCAAACATTCAAACAACTGTCATTATATCGTGGCTGACTTCTCATCACATTCTTCTGTTTTTACTGTTAAAAATGACTTTAAGACCTTTGCTCAAACTTTTAATTCTAATATGTTGGCAATTATTTTGATATCTGAAATTGGTAAATCAAACACATTTTCTGATTTCGGAGGGAATACCTGAATATAATTTATTTATTTAATTTTTAATATTTTTTTATATTACAAGCAGAATGTCCAACTTGTAAAATAACACAAGGTACTCTTGGATGTGAGATGAAAGTGGCTTTTATAGATTTTCTTTCTAACTTCCTGTAAACACCGATTGAAGCATCCCTTGACATGAACACGCCACACGCAATCTTTTGTCCAGCCTGTGTAAATAAGCTGCAAGATTCAAAATGAAACTTACAGAGAGTTTCTGTCAACAATGTGAATAAAGATGAGACGGTTCTTGGGGACAGTTTCAGTTTTTCATACTCTATAATTATGGGTTTAACACCTCTTACACAACCTCATATCTCCTGAAGAAAGGTGCTCTAAGCTATGTTTACAGTGTTTTATTGTCCCCACCTTCTCAATCATTATTGCAGGTTTTACTGTACATGTTGCTGTTTACCTTCCAATGAAAATTTTGTTGTACCAACATGTGAAGAATGCTATTTTGCATAGCTACTGGCCGCAAATGACTCATGTATAGAAGAGTACGGCTGTGATGCTTCATTGACGGTAAATACACAAGTGGTTGATTGTAGCCATCTGTAGGAGAAGGTGTGTGACCCCTGAATCAGAAGTGGAAGTCACCAGACAAGGGAGTGTGTGTGATTCATTTCCAGTTGAACCAGTGAAGACAAGGACAGTGAATCACCTTGGATGGGTGTAAGAAATATGTTTCACAAGATCTGTAGGCGGTGTGTTGAAAGACTCATATATGGTTGTACATTCGCTATACGTAGGCCCCGTTCGGCCTGTAGTGACTCAGGCCTGTAACAAGAGATTAACTCCAGATGTTTAAACCGTGACACTTAATTCTTCAGGGCAACAGCAGAAAAAAGGAACCAGATATCAAATCAGCAGTGCTTCTGTTTGTGAGGTCATTTCCCCGAAAATAGACTGAACTGTGGAGGCTGAGGACACACATGGTAACAATAGAGCCTATACATAGACAAAGCGGGTGCCCTCTAGGGGAAAGGCAACATGCATACACACTCACATGCACACAAAAAGACAGTTGTGTGCAATTACATATGTGTGAACATTAATATCAATGGACTTTAAATGTGTTTAATAAGGAAACTGGAGGAAAAAAGAATCTAGCAATGAGATTGAACTTGACAGATACGTGGCGTAGACCAGACACAGGAGGAACAATCCCTCTCTTTCTCCCGACACTGGCATTACAATCCTCCCATGATCATACACAGTAAGGCCGGGAATCCCAGCTGCACTGTGTTGGGGTGGAGCTCTGCTCTCCTGATCCCATGGAGGAGTAGACACATATCATCCATGCCTCTGGTGCCTCTTCCAGGAACATGGAGGACGAGTTCAGCTGATAGTAAACAAGAATGGGCGTGCTGACGGCACACACGTGGACGGAGAGTGAGTACATCAGCGACCTTTCTAGATGTTTTTGAAGCAGTCAGCAGCAGGAGTATGGTAAAAACACCCATGTTAGTGTTGATGAGAAGCACAGACGTTTGGAGGAATCTCAGAATTTCACTGTACTGTTTGTTCTCTGTTCTGCAGCTGGAGTTATGGCACTTGACAGTTTTGTTTTTGAGAGCAGTCAGTGTACTTTTGTTTGGAGGCTACATGCCTCAAACAAAATAGCCCTTACACCAAATACTTAACGGAGTGGAAGATCAGATATATCTATACTAGTCTTCTTTCTCTCTATAATCCTCTTGTTCAGGTCAGTTTCAGTCTCAAATTCCTCTCATGTTAGGCAAAAAAGGCCTGTGAGAGTATCTACATTTGCTTTTGTTCTGCATATCTCAATACAAAACACCTGCCAAACAGTCAGTGTGACAAGGACAAGGATGGAAAAATACTCTTCTTTTCACCCCTGTACATGACTGCATTGATGTGCATAATAAATCATAAATAAATTACAGTTTTCTTGATTGCTTTGACCTGCTTAAAGAAACTGGGATCCACTCGGTTTTCATCATTACTGTCTCAGCAGAGAACAAGACACCTCTTGCAAATGTGTTAACATTTTCTCATTGGATTGACACATTTTCAACACAGATGTCATTCAAGCAGTCCAAACTCCATTGTTTTAGCTATGGTAACCAAACAGAAACCATCTGTTCCTGGCTATTAGAAACTACCTACATCAGTATGAAATCACTGAAGCCCCTGTTTGACACTCCTTCACACAAATCTTCAATTAGCAATCAGTCTGCAGGCCTTAAAAGGTGCAGCGTCTGTGTTGTTCTTTGCCAATATGGATGGAAGAGGTCTAAGGCAGATGAGAGTGAGAGTGAGAGTAAGAGGTAGAGGGGTCTGAGTGCGAGGTGGAGGTATAGTTGGAAGGGCTCAGGTTTCTGATTAAATTTGGGCAACTGCTATTGATCATGTTATCAATCATGGCCTTTCACTTAGAGAGGCTGGACAAAGAGTCCAACCTGTTCTCAACAGAAACACTGTCGCATCCATTGCCAGAATTTTTCGACAGGAAAACAGGTAAAGTTGCTGTACTGTACATACAGAAATATCTTCAGTGATATACTTTATGTAATTGTTTCCTCATTCCCATTACATGTATTCTTTATAGAATCCAAAGGCTACCATTCTCTGGTGGTAGAATGAGAATTTTTAGTGCTGAGCAGGAGGCAGCCGTTGTGAACATGGTTGTGGAAAACAATGCCATAAGGCTGCGTGAAATCAGGGCAGCAGTGTTCGCAGATCAGGGCATGTTTAGGAACATCAACAACGTGAGCGTGACCACCATTGACCGCATCCTAAGAGGGAACCATATGGCCATGAAGCAGCTCTATACAGTTCCATTTCAAAGGAACTCTGACATTGTGAAGGAGGCCAGATGCCAATATGTGGAGGTAAGGAAACATTACTACAGTATACTGTAATGCCTTGTCATATCCTGCAGTTAGTCAACTGGACTCACTTTTCATTGTCATTTTGCCTTTTTTTACTTGGAGAATAATGGAGCTTGAAGCTGAGGGGGCACATCATGTCTTCATTTATGTTGATGAAGCCGGCTTCAATCTCATTAGGTACAGGGCCACTATCACAATTCCAGGACAGAGGGGCGCCAACATAACCATGTGTGCTGCCATCTCCAATGATGGTGTCCTAGGCCATATCCACACTATTGGCCCATACAACACCAAGCGCCTCATAACATTCCTGAATGCACTTCATGACAGGCTGATCCCACCTGAGGAGAGAGGGCTGTTGAGGCCTGGCATGCCCCTCTTAGTCATTATCTGGGACAATGTGGCGTTCCACCACTCTCACCTTGTCAATGAGTGGTTTGCAGTACTCCCTCGAATGATGATGCAGTTCCTTCCAGCATATTCCCCATTTTCGAATCCCATAGAGGAGTTCTTCAGTGCTTGGAGGTGGAAGGTTTATGATCACCGTCCTCTATGAGCAGATGCCCTTGCTGAATGCAATGACTGCTGCTGCCCAAGAAATGGGTGCAGAGGAATGTCAAGGTTGGATAAG